GAGCACCTCACGAGGTTTCCTTGTTAGATTTGTCAATTAAAAAATCAATGCGCACTAATTTTTGTACTCTACACTACTAGTGATTATTGCAATAAAGCAAAAATGTCGATCACATCTAAATATTTCGAAATTAACCCAAACTGCCATCTTCCAGACCTATCTGTCGTCGGATCAATTGCACGAAATATTAAATGTCTGCGGGCTACTAGTCGTGTTACCATAAAATGAAAGTATTTGTATTTAAATACTTTTCAGAAGGGATTTTTACAAATCTGTCGATTGATTTGAAAGCTAAGTTTTTATACATGTTTTGAAGAATTGAAGTTGTTGATCTTGAAACAAACTTGAAACATGAAAATTAAGTAATTACATTTTATGTACTTTAAGAATTTATGTTTATTTACCTTATTTTAAACTTCTATAATATCAATTTCTATCACTTTGCAACATATCACTTTCTCCTGATGAATTAGAGGAATTTTTTTTCATGACGGAAACGATTCTAGGGCCGCTTTTTCTTCCTCTTTCCAGTTGGCCAACTTCCTTTGAGTAGCTCTTAATTTGATTTGCATTTGTATGTTCTAGTAGTGAATTTTCTTTTATAGACGATACTGATTGCGTTTTGTTCTTTTCTGCATCAGAAGAATTAAGTTCAATTTTTTTTGTCTGGGGGTTCTTTTCAATATGAGACGATTCATCGTCTGATGATTCTGATGATACTGAAAAATCGTGAGTAAGATTTTTTAGAACAATACAGTTGAAAAGCTGCATTTGATAATTCACATTGAAAAGTCAATAAAACTCTATCATATATACGTTTCTTTTTTTTGTTAACGGTATAATCGAATTTTTTCGCTGCTGATTTTAGTTTTTCACCAATCTTATTTTTTTCCAAAGGCTGGTTTGTATTTTTGTTGCTGTTTTGAACGTTGTTATCTTTCTCACTTTCTAAACTATAAGAAAACTCTTCGTTATCTAATTCTTTCAAACGTTTTTCAGCATCTCCAAATGTTCCTGAGAAAGAATTAATCATTTAGTCGAATGAATTGAAATAAATTTTTTGTAATGAACTTATATGCTCACTTGCTTCTCCTTTTTCATCTATAATATATCTAGGGCAAAATTTGTTTGGCGGTGCATTATTTCTAATCCAATTTTATTATTTAAATTTCTTTGCGGCAGATACGAATGGTTCAGGCATCAATGGTGCTATCTACGCTCCTGTGCTTTCATCCCATTTTACCCATTTGGATGGAACAATATCGTTACGTACCTCGTCGTCATCATCCGTCACTGTTATAATTTTATATAAATATACCATCTTGTTGAGAATTAATTAATTCTCAGTTTAAATTTGCCAGCTGACAGGAACTTCGGCGGCCATCTTGGGACTGGGTCGATAACCAATCGACCAAACAATCAATAATTCTTAATTTAGTCAATCATTTGACTAATTTTCAGTGTCCCTGTTGACTAATGAAGTTCCTGTCGCCATTCTTTCACTGTTCTCGTTCACGTGTACACGCCATTCTTATTCATTCTTAACAAATCTTACAAGTTTGAGTCAATCATCAGTACTAGTGCTATTGAAAATCATCAGAGCCATTCAAGCTTCATTCTAAAACTAGAATCAAGAAATATTTCAAGATTTTTCAGTGTAATTCAAGACAGTTCATCAAGATTCATATGCATTGCATTGATAGACTAACGCCACGTGCACAATCACATTCTTGCTCAACTTGAGAAGCGTGCTGAGCTCGTGTGGGAGGTCAATAATACCGAACACACCAAGTTGAGTAGTTTTTTGGACATTCAATTCTGATTCAAGAATTAAAAATAGACATTCAGTGATTTTGAGCGACATTCAGTCTTCCTAGTTAACAACTCAAGTTTGTCAGTATACTTAGTGTACCTGTTAGTGCTTAAAATTAAGATACTTTATTTTTTATAAAACCTGACTTCCGTTTGCTCTGTTCCGGCACAATCATCCCTATCCTTAAACGGTTAGGTTAATTCACAAGTTGAGATTTTCTCAACACATCTAAAAAAAAATTTTGTAGAAAGGTTTCAGCAATTATTACTAATAAAGAATATTGCATTCATGAGTTTAAATATTTCAAGACAAACAAATAATCTCGCGTATTATGCCGCCATTTATAATCTCAGAAATGGAACGTTATTATTGGCTGTTGACAAAAGATAAAAGAAAACCAAGTTCTACATTGAATATTTTTTTCATATTTAATGTAAAAAGTATAACCAAAACTTTTATTCGGAAATTTGAAAATAATGATGAATTTTCAAATTAATGTATTTATATACAAACCTTCACTAATGCGTCCACTAAAGAATACAGAATCTCTTCTAAAGAAATACGGCGCTCGCTTTATCCTTTTGTTATAATATTTTTCAATGACAATTTGGAATAGTTTTTATTTAACACCAGGAGAACACATCACAAAACAATATGACACTATTCGAAAGAAACTCACTGATGAACGCACTGCGATACGTTTGAAGACTTTATCACAAATGAAAATTTTATTTAGTGATATTTGACTACAAAAAATGGCTCTACAATACTTGATGTGGCCGATTCGCCCTGTTCAAACAGACTGACGTTTAGACGTCTAGAGTAGATGCTCACAGCTACTTCTACAGTGGTAATAAAATAAAAGCCTGAACACGTGTTAAGGACTATAGAGTCTCAACGTGGTTAAATTTTCCCTAAAATATAAGCCTGAGTTCTATTCAGGTACCAACATGGTAAGAGTCTTCTGTCTGTACGAAAGTTCAAATATCATCAGTTTGTTTAGGATGCAGACGGCCCTCAACGTCGTTGAGAGATGGTGCCAGGTTCGGGGGCTCAGGGTCAACCCGAGCAAAACTGAATTGGTTTTGTTTACAAGAGGAAGGAGGACTGATTTCAGGCCTCCCTCCATCTTTGGCAAACAGCTGAGATGTTCGGAAGCAGTGCGCTACCTTGGAGTAACCTTAGATAGGAAGCTCTACTGAAGGGCACATGTAGACAAGCAGGTCAAGAAGGCCACAGCTACCTTCTGGACCTGCAGAAGAATGTTCAGTGTCACATGGGGTCTGAAGCCGAAATCAATAAAATGGCTGGGACCACAAATCAATTAGCAGGGACCTGATCGAACTGGATAAAAGAAGGCTAAGAGTGGCCGTGGGCGCCGTCACAGGGCACTGGTTAACTCGACGTCATATGAAGATGCTGGGACGCGGAGAGGAAACCGCGTTCCGGTGGTGTGGTGAGGAAGAGAAGACGCCTCTACACATGATAAGGGAATGTTCAGGGCTAAGGGAACCCAGGCAGCGCCTGTTAGGGAACCTTGAAACCGATACACCCATTCTGGTGACGGTTGGGATGGACAGGCTTCTGCAGTTTTGTTACGAGGCCGGGCTGTACCAACCCTTGAATACTTAGAACCGCCTTTACCATACGTTTGGACCCAGTACAATGGCCCCGTGGCTAAGTGCAGGGAAGGCGGGTCAGTGAAGGGGGGAAAAAAAATCAGTTCATTTATAAAAAAATCTTTATTTATCGTCTTATTTTGAGCATGAACAAATAGCAGCTTACTTTTATATCATTGTAGCATTTTTAAGAAAAAGATATCAAAATAATTGTTAATAAATTTATATGTAAAGAATGATAAATAAATTTTGGTTGTTATTATAAAAATAAATAAATCGTTGTTCAACATTGAAGGTTATAAATTAAATATAGACATGTATATACGGCATATTTCAACCGCTGCATATTGTTCAACTCAATAATATTAATCTAATCGATAATGATCTATAATTAGATACTATGAACTTATTATTTTCACATATGGAGCAAGGGTATAACAAATATTCTTTCTTTTATAGGAGTGCTGATATCCACTAGTATCATTTTACAATCAATTAAACTCAATTCACCAGTCCAGGGTTTTTTTTGTTTTTTGCTAACTGCCTACATTTTCAAAAATGTAGAATCACGAGGATAGTTGAGTATTGGATATTTTTTATTCCAAATTGTTCCACAAACTTGGATTGGATTTCTATCTGCCGGAATATAGATGTTATTAATTTATACTATTTTCTTATTTGTTAATAATACCGTATTATTCGGTGGTTCCGTGGTCAAAATTGATCCTTTATGTTATAATGTCTTCATTGGTGTAGCCCCAACTGCATCCTTTTTCAATTTTCGTAATATTGAAGTGTTGTGGCTCACAATTACTTTGTTATTATTGTAAAGAAATGATTCATGTAAACGCCTGCAAATTTGAGCTAATGGTCTGTGTCCACTCCTGATCATTTTTTTTAATTGACCTAAGGCATTTTCAAAAGAAAAGGCTGATATTTGTGGAAGAGGATATTCCATATTTTGAACATCGTCACAAAGATGGATTGAGCTATGCATATTACTTGTTAGACATGTAACTCCATAAATTAATGGTGCAATATCAACGAAATCTGCCAATAATTCCTTGGCGTCAGAGCATTATTCAAGTGCAAGTTCTTTTGAATTGAATATTTGACAGCTTACATGTAGTAATAAAAAATGTCATGTATCAGTAAACTCATCATCAGGAATTTCAGTGAACTTAAGGATTACTTCTGTTTATATCCTTTTTTATAATATCCGCGGTCAAAATATCCTAGGAAAATATCCTTGAAAAAAATATCCCTCCTTAAAAATATCCTCTTATATAATATCACCTCTTGAAATATCCTTTCGAAATACACTCTTATTATATGAAAAAATTCGGTTTTAAGCTTTAAACACCCCACGACCACCACCACCTCCACAATTCTAATTCGTTACTTATTTATTCATTAGAGGAGTAAAAATTTTTAATTACAAATTTTTAATCACAATTTATTTTATTATCAATTCTATAAAAAAATTTAATTATTTTAACATATTTCTACATAACATAAATCGCATCGGTCATTTAGAGTAAAAAAAAAAATAAACATGAAAGAAACAATTATAACTTTAAATTATTTGCTATACACTTAAGGTATCTGCATATATTCTCGGAATTATATTCTGCAACCACATTAAATACACGACAATCATAATCGCGATATTTTTTCCTTTTCATAACTGGCTCTGCTCCTGAAGATAACTGCTCAATGACTATTTCCGTATTACTTTGTTCTTCTTTCAAGAGGTTAATAAATTTCCAAAAATATAAATGAGCACTTTGTGCTCGATTATTAAAACTATGATGCCATCCTTCGACAGCATTATTAGTGCGAGGACAATTAGCTTTAACAGCATCGTAGACACTCCACAATTCACTATTAAACATTGCTGATTCACGATCACCTCGTCTATTACACTTGCCAACCCACATCTCTTCAAAATAATTCAAGAAATCTTCCAATAAATCTTCATTTTTTTTATATATGCTGTATTGATAAGCTCTTCATAGCCACGTGATATATCAATAGTGGGCAAAAAAGCTAAAGCAGCAAACATTCGAATGTTATTAGCAAAGGTAGAATCACTGCATACTTCTGTTGTAATCCCATCTCTTGAATTTTTCGTACTAAGCACTGCATAAAATGAAAATTACATCCTTGAATTTTGACTGTTGGGAATATAGAATGAAAAGCACTAATAAAAGCACGTTCAAAATCAGCATGAATTATATTAGGAACATTATCATTTACCAATAGATTTTTTATTTCTCGTAGAACTCGTTTGTAAGTTTTTTTTGTTTTATTTAGTAACAAAATATATACTAGTGGAATGACTTTTCCTGCAACCATACCGTGAATAGTGTAGAGTTGATAAAATATAGTTGGTACTACTTTAAATGTACCATCTGCAAACCACTCCTTACACGTTGACAGTATATTCATATTTTCTTCAGTACCAAACATAATAATTCATTGTTCATCTTTTGAATCCCATAAAATAAAATTCTCACCTGTACTTGATAAACTATAACTTTCAGGTATAATAACAGTGGCAGCAGAAGAAGGCTCGGGTGGTATGGGGTTTGTTTTGTTTCTCTTTCTACGTGCTAATTGGCATAATACTGACACTTGAGGTAAACGAGCAACGGCTGCTTTCGATGATATGGATAGCACTTTCGTAACGATATTTCTAACAGGCAATTCAGGCTTTTCTGCTTTTTTACGAATCTTATTAGTTATTTTTCGAGTCTCATACTCAACAACATCTGCCAAATGACTATGTCCCGTATGTTTCGTTACTTTTCCTGAAAAGTCGAAAATTTTAAAATATTTACAACATCAATATTCAGTTGTATTTCAAAAATTAGTTATAAAATCATGACTTACCATTTGGAGTAGCAGATGTGGTATGGCATATTCCATGACATTTGTTACTTTTAGAATATTCAACGCATCGCCAAATAACTTTGTTCGATGATTCTGATTTTTTATTGAAAATAAAACCACGTTCAACCAAAAGATTGTTTCCTTTCTGGCCTCGGATAAATTTTAACGGCATTTTAATACATAATTCCACTACGCTATCAGAACAAAGACTGACAGAAATTGACTCAATAAGTACATCAATGCTTCAAATAAATCTATTAAAATATTTGAAAGGGATTATCTCCGATGTAAACAACCGTCAACCTATATTATTTATGTACGTATACTTAACTAGTACATCAAATAGGTAATATAAAATATTTTAAAAGGATTATCTCAGATGTAAACAATGAGCAACTCATATTATTTATGTACGTGTACGTAACTATTATATTAACTACCTACTATAAAATTATATTTAGTTTAGTAAGACAATTTAAAATTTCTGAAAATTCTCAGAAATAGTTGTTTTTAAACAAGAATATATTTTTGGAGAATATTATATAAAAGGATATTTTTAAGAAAGGATATTTTTGCCGAGGATATTATCCTTGGATATTTTGACCGCGGATATTATAAAAAGGGATAATAACAGCCGTCACCAACTTAAGACTGTACGCAGATAATTCAAAGACTCAGTTTTCAGTGAACTTATTTTATACAGTTATCAGACAGACTCTCTGATCATTAGTCTACTAGTTATTGTTACTTAAGTGGTTAATAAATAGTTATTTGTTATCGTTAACTAGTGTCAGCCGATTCATTTACACCCGTTCAACAGTCCCGACTGTTCTAACATCCAAATATCCTGAAAAATACAGTCCACATGATTCTGATTACTCTCCACCTGTAATCTCTGTCCATCTTTTTCTACCAGCTCATCCAAGTCAGAACACTATTCTTATTCCATCTCGAAGTAGCTCGTTTAGTTCATTACTGAAGCGCTTTAAAAATCTTTCCAAACTTGAAGGTTTCTGATTACCTGGGTAAATCACAACTGGGAATGGTTTATATGGATTATAATCAGCAGAAATAAAAACTTTTCTCAGAATTGTTTTGAACTAGATTTAAATAACTGTAGTCCATCAATATTAAATAATTAATGAATTGTATCATCAGGATATAAATCTGGATTGATGATTTGAAGAAGATATTTTTCAATACCAAAATATAGAAAATTTACTGTTTGTATCGAATGTTTCAATATTATAATCACCATCATCGGTTTGTAAAAACGTTTTCAAACCTTGCTCCCCCCGTCCGAAGGACGGAAATTGAGTACCTCGCCTACCTGGGCATAATTCTGGAAAATTATAACTCTACTCTCATCGCGATGGCGTTTCCCGGGACACGTATACCTGCACCTTGAAACAGGCACAGGGATACACGCATCTAGCCCAAGGCCTTGCAACATACCACTACGAGTCCAATTGACCGAGAACACCCGGCTCTCCGCATATCGTTTTTCGACTTTGCAGCTCCAGATGCGGGCTTAGAATTCGGAAGATCAGGGATTTTCCGTCGTCTCAGTATTTGTGAAGGACCTGTGAGTTTAGTATGATGAATTGCCGAGGCGCCAATGCTTACCTTCGGATTCCCTCAATTTCATCAAATTGTTCATCTTCATTATCTGTATCGTTTACTTCATTTTTTGTTATTCATTGCACTTATTGCACTAACTAATCGAATAATATATCACGTCTATATCTATCTTATATATAAAAATTTATAACTCATATATTTATTAATAATGATTACTTAATTACTCAATTACTTATTATTACTACTACATTATTTATTGAAACTGTGAAGTATAAAAACGTCAATAAAATAAGAAAAATTCAATTGTCAATTCAGAAATTATTTCTAAAGTTCACTTGTAGACTTTACTTTTCAAACAGAACTTGAAGAATAAATCTTATTCTAAAGGTACACATTATTTTATAGTTAAAAACTGCAGTCATTCGGGAGAGTGACATGAAGTAAAATTAAGGACAGTAGAAAAATTAGAAAGTTTTGGTAAGCAAGATTGAGAAAAAGATTTGGTTAGGGTTCTGGTTTATAACTGTTGTATTCATCATTTTGTTTGTAAATATATATATGTATTTTAACTTTGTAATATAATATTTATATTGTAATATAATGTTACCTTCAGTTTGATTAAAAAATTCAAGAGCATTAAAATCCCATTAAATAACATCAAATCCTATTGAAAAGTTGAAAAGGAAAGACAAAAGTTGAATAGGATTATAAAGTTAATATTAATAAATCCTATAAAAATTTTTTCATTCCTACGAAAATACTGACAAGAATTCGGTACATCTCTATGGGACAATAGAATAGGATTCAATGGATTTTTACAGGAAATACACCTCCAATAGCATTTAACAGGAAATTTCCGATGTAATGTTCCCATTAAATTATTATTTCCCAATAGGATCTTTTAAGCTGGGTAGATTTAAAATATAGGAGTAAGCAATATTAGTGTTAGCTAATAAATAACATGCACAATTAATGATTAAAAGAATGATCAAGTATCTGATTGTTTCTAATAAAATCACGTAAATCAAAATTATTAAATAGAGGCAAAAAGTTTGAAGTACAAAACAACCTTTCTCAGTAGAGCTCTAACAGAAATGCTTTATTAGTTTACATTCAAAATTTTATTAAAGTTGATGGTTATCATTATTAATTATCATGTATTTCCAAAAATACAGAGAAATAAAATTAATTATTATTATAATGAAATACTCTTAGTGATCATCACAATGAACATTCACTGTTTACTGATAACACTTTGGTCTTTTTAATATAAACTTTTTATTTGAAGCTCAATAATTGAAACTATCTTCCTCACAGGCTAGCTTACAAGTAATTTAAATAGCATAATTAGAATTTTTCATCAGTGATGGAATTGAAGTATCCATGTATTTACAAGTGACAAATGTGACGAATTCAACCATGATAGGTTTCAAAGTTAAATAATGAAAACAACTTTAATAATTCATCTATCAGATATTAAACAAATTGTACACCTACTTATTAAATATGATAAACAAGAAAAGTTTCATTTGATGACTATAAACACAATCATTGTCTCTTTTTAGAAGCTTTGACTATTTTACTTTTTTGCTTATCTTCACCAGAAAGGTAAGTCGTGATGAGTTCTGACATTTCTGGCATATTATAATTCGTTAGGCTGTTGAATTGCTCCATTTCTTTCCTTGTTTCTGGATCATTCATTATTTTTGGTAGAGCCATTATTAATATCAATGGTAAAACCATCATCAAAATCTACAATACAAATGTTATTTCAGTTAATCAGCAAAATTGTCTCTTTCAAAGCATATTCAAATGTTTATTCATGATAAATATTGTTTCAATTAATTGGAGATAGTAAAAATAATAGATACCATAGGATTGAACAAGAAATCTGTAACTCTCCATTGCTCTCTGATTTGGAAGTACCGGAAAGGCGTCAAAGGTCTCAACTTTAATGGATACGGTACTTGAATTACTTGCGAAGTTTGAATAAAATTAACTTTTCGTGCTCTGAATTTTCCTTTGGAATTAATTTCCACTCTGACTGGTTCATAAGCATAATTCGAGTTTACAACTTCCACTACGTATGATCCTGACGGTATATTTGATATTGTGAAGGTTCCATCTTCTCTAAAGATAATCAACATTATAACCTACATGATGATTATTTCATTATCATTCAACTCACCGTAAAAATCCATAACGTTCGAACTCTGGCCCGTTGGCCATTACATAGGTTGCAAGCTGCCAATCAGTACCTCCAGCATTTTCCCACGGAAAGACTTTGCCTTCAATCACATACAAGTCTGTCGAATTATCTTCCTCATTACTATCTGCACAATTGCTGTTATTAATTATCACAACAAATAGAAACAAAGTGACTACTTTAATATAAAACATCGTTATCAATTCTTTCTATTCCACGTAATCTTTATTTTTAACAAGTAAAATGTCAAATTATGCTCTCAACATGTGAATACATTTTCTCTCTTTGTCCAAGCCATAATGCACCACGATACGTTGAAAAAAGTAAACAAGAAACGCACACAAAACTGTTTTATCTGTAGAGATATTACACGTAGAGTATAGAGATGCCAGCATGACCGAACTGGTTATTTATGATCGTCATGTCACGGTCATAAGACCGTCAGCTGACCATCACTAAAATGACCGACCACCGGGTTAGCCGCGACATCTGACGGATAATTGTATAACACTCTAGTAGCCTTGATCCATTTTATCGACAATTATTTATATTTTGAATTGTAACGTAACATAACACAAAGTATGTAAACAAAAAAATATGAGAGATTTAATATATCAATAAGCTTAAAAAATAGATGTTTTAATTATAAATTATTCTAAAATTATTGGTATTAAATATGAATAAGTTGATTTTCTTATCGCTCAGTCAAATCGTTTTTTTGAAGATATTCTTTTATATTGTTATATTCTTCAATAGCATTTACTTGTTGAACGTGATTAAGAGAAGCAAGTGCTTCTATTCCTTTTTCGTACACTGACAGAAATTTTTTCCGGTGGCGAATTATACAATTTACTTGTCCCCAGTATAAAAGTGATAGGTAAAAAAGTTTCGGAAGGCAGGTAAAGAAAGTACCTGGAATCAGTAAAACTTCGTTTTAAAATGAATAAAAAAAAAACTTAGTCTAAATACAGAATATACCACTCCTGAGTAGACTACAAGCGGTTGAAGAAGTAAAAAGTATACAAGTTTTATGAAAATAAAGTACTTGTATTTAAGTAGTCTTTCTACTTGGAATCAGTATAATGTGAGCCAATGTATTTTGTTTATCTCAAGTAGGTAGATAATAGAAGAAGATTACAAAGTTTACTTCAGTTGATAATATAGTTTTCTTACACTGAGAATCTTCCTTACTTACCACAAGTGTATTTTATACGGAGATCCCGTATAAAGCGTACTTATGCTAAGTATAATGCTGTTTTACACTTTAAACACCATGTTCTCACATTATGAATCCTTTTTTATTAATAAAAAAATACTTGTTACTTGATTCAAGTATATCAATTCTTCACTGCAAGTATATTATATACTTAAATTAAGTATACGAAGTACTCATGCTAAAATTTTTTTCTTATTAAATTTAAAAATTTCAAAATATAAATAATTATATTAATAATAAAAAAGTTACTGTTATACCCATTGGTATTGGTCAATTTAAATTAGTGACCATTACTAATGAAGTAATTTAATGATTAAATATTCAGTAATTAATAAATAGATGAAAAGTAATCTTATAATAATTACAACAATTACTGTTGTACTTTTAAATACGTGGAGCTGCTACACTTACCAAATATTTATACCTGTATAACTTTTAACAGGTGCAAAATAATAAAAAACTTTGCATGGATGAAATGTTCCATTTTTAATTCTGCACATTTGAGCCCAAAATCAGGCTGATCGGTGCATTTGAACCAAAATTAATGATAAAAAATAACCGTGATTTAGTTCGAATTACAAAAACAAAATACTGTCTACAACTATGGCGTTTGATGCCTATGTTGCACGTGCTTTAGTTATAATACGATCGAAAGAATTTCTTTTCGTAACGTAGCGCTAAGCCACAAATTATTTAGTCTCACACTTTAATCAATGACAAAAAAAATCATTTTAAGTCGTTTATCAATTTTTATGAATTTCTTTATTTTGTGGGGTGGCTTGAGTCAAGGTCAAAGAGGTTTAGACTCATTGAGGATGAGAGGCTATGAATACATTAACAAACGCAAAATGTCATATTTCTGTGTCCTTAGGATAATTGTATAGTCCAATCAAATGAGGGAAATGGGATAAATATGATTTGCTCCGGCCAAAGTAGTGATTTATAGATGACTAGATTGGAAATTCCGCGAGGAATACGATAGTGTAGGTTAAAATTGTTTGGCACGCATAGGGGGGAAGTAAATCGCGAAAAACCGCCCCCCCCTCGCAAATTTCTCGATTTCTATGATAGATATAAAAAAATGTTTCAAATAAAAGTTGTTCAGAATTGAATTTTAATAAAAAAAGTACTGAACACTTTTTTTCATATCTATGATAGATAAAAAGTTATTCGCGACTGAAGCTTCACTATTGACAAAAGCTTCAGTCGCGTCTAAGAAAATTAATAAAAAATACTAAATGTTAGAAATATTACTTTTTGGCGATTTATTTAGAAAAAGGAGATATTGAATTTCATTTTTAGAGAAAAATTTTTTTTTTTCATTGATTTTTTCATTATTTTTATAAACAATAAATTATTTAAATCATTCCCATTTTGGTTCAAATGCACCGATCAGCCTGATTTTGGGCTCAAAATGTGCAGAATTAAAAATGGAACATTTCATCCATGCAAAGTTTTTTATTATTTTGCACCTGTTAAAAGTTATACAGGTATAAATATTTGGTAAGTGTAGCAGCTCCACGTATTTAAAAGTACAACAGTAATTGTTGTAATTATTATAAGATTACTTTTCATCTATTTATTAATTACTGAATATTTAATCATTAAATTACTTCATTAGTAATGGTCACTAATTTAAATTGACCAATACCAATGGGTATAACAGTAACTTTTTTATTATTAATATAATTATTTATATTTTGAAATTTTTAAATTTAATAAGAAAAAATTTTAGCATGAGTACTTCGTATACTTAATTTAAGTATATAATATACTTGCAGTGAAGAATTGATATACTTGAATCAAGTAACAAGTATTTTTTTATTAATAAAAAAGGATTCATAATGTGAGAACATGGTGTTTAAAGTGTAAAACAGCATTATACTTAGCATAAGTACGCTTTATACGGGATCTCCGTATAAAATACACTTGTGGTAAGTAAGGAAGATTCTCAGTGTAAGAAAACTATATTATCAACTGAAGTAAACTTTGTAATCTTCTTCTATTATCTACCTACTTGAGATAAGCAAAATATTTACAAAAATGCAGTAATCGCTATTCTTGGTATAAATTAATATTATATTAGGATTGAGTGATGAAAAATTTAAAATCAAGTTAATGTTATTATGATTGTACAGTACACTTTAAACTTCATTTTGATATAAAATGTACTTGCATCAAAAATAATTATACTCAAATTGAGTATATTTTGTGTTTGCCGCTAGTATACTTTCTAGCTATCACATTTTTTCTGTCAGTGTATTGAGATTCTGAGCTTTGTAATTTTCCAGCTCCGTCATAAGCTTGCACGCTATCAGCTGGATCAAGCAGAAATGAAACCTGTTGTTCTTCATACTTTTTTTGACAGTTATCACAAGTACAAAGCAATGATCTCCATCCTTCGGTAAGCCGGCTTCATTAAGGCTGGGCTGAAGTTAGAGAGGCGAACTGATTCCCCCTATCTAAATACATGGGATCGGGATATTTCTAATTTCTTCGCCAATTTACTATTATTTCTATAAAATTAGGTACTAAATTGCAGAAGAATTAATGCCGGACTGACGTAAACAACAATTTTTTAATTAGTGAAAAATCACTAATTATTGTATTTTTATACATTTTTCGACCAAAATTCGTGTTTGCGTCAGTCCTTGCCACCTGTCTGAATGTCGAAAAAATCAATTTATAGCATAAAATTGAATAATTTAGAAATAGTGAGAAATATTGTATTCCGAATGATTTTATTCGGAAATTAGTTTGAAAAAATTCCGATAGGTGACAGCATCATGCTCGCAGATGCGACGAAAGTCAATTGATTACTCAACAGATGGTACTCCATCATTGCACCTCCATGTATAGCGCTTTGTTCATGAACGTAGCACATATTGAGTGCTCTATCAATGTTTTAAAGTAAAATAATAATGTTGCTAAATAATTGTTAACAATTATGTGGATACTTGTGTGCTATTTGTTTAGATTAGATTTAACCTAATGATCAAGATTTTGTGAACAATATTTTGTTAACATAATAATTAATGATGGTGTGAAAATCTTTTTGCTTCAATGCTCTGTTGTTTTGACGCGTTAAGAAATGGCGAATATTAGATGTATGATTTACTTCATTTTTTTGTTGACATTTATGTTATCTCAAGGTATACAACACAAAATTCTTTTAAACATTGATTCTTTATATTCCATAACCTATCAGTAACTTATATACTGGTGAAATTACATTAGATATAAATTGTGAATCATTTTTAGCTGACATTCAACGTACACCTTTATTGGAAGACAAACAGAACAGTTTGGATAGTGATGAACAGACTGATCAACCAGAATTCTTTAATGAAAAATACATAAGCAACAATGGAGCTATGAGAAGATTGACATGTTATTCTTGTGAAGGAATAGAATGTTTAAATCCTGAACTGTGTCATAATGCTGTTACGGCAAGTTTATTATTTTAATTATCAATAATATAATCTTATAGTTTCTTTTCAATTGTGAACCAATTGTTGATTTTTAAGTAATTATTTAGAGGGCAGAAATTTATTTCACTTCTAAAACGGTTTGGTTTTGTTTGAAGAAACGTTTTTACAGATCATTTCAAAATTTCTAATAAAAGAGATATATTATTATGACAACTTATTAGTGTCAAAAATTGAAGAAAATGAATTGAATCGTTGAAACTATAAAAAACTAAAAAATAAAATGTGCTAACACATTTTTATACTTTAAAGTGAGGTCTGATTAATAAAAAAAATCCAATTCTTTTCATTGGAAAAAAAATTTACTGAGAACAAAACAGATTTTCTTCAATTATAGAATTATCTAGAAAATTGATTTATTTTAATTGTTTTATTGGATTTAATGTAGTTATTACTTTTTCTAACATTGAAAAAAAAATCATCGATTAAGTTGAACAATTTATTGAATTAATGATTATTTACTAATCGTAATAAAAATCAATATTTCCATCAATGATAAATTTTAATTATAAATCTGCTTTTACTCTCTCGATTAGCATTTTTTTTCCGGCAGTAAACCATTAGCTATAATTATTATTGTGCCTTTCAATTTAATACTTGAAATATTTCTGTCTTCCTGATAGCCTTGTATGACAAAGATTTGTAGTATGATGCTAATTATACTAACAATAAGGTATATTTTCATTATTAACAATTATTTTTCCATTACAGTGTTGGAAGTCCACCGTCAGGCAAACGGATGGCACAGAAAGAGTCAAAAGAGCTTGTACAACAGAACAAGATCAGATTCCGTTGATATGCAATAAAATGGCTCCAGGCAGATATGAAGCTTTGTATCATGTGGAATGTTGCTACACTGATTTGTGTAATAAAGGACCCTTTCCCATTCTTGAGCCATTAAATGGTAAATAATAATTTCTTATACTTTTTATTAAAGATTGAAGAGAAAAATGTAAAGAGTGAGAATTTTCATCAACGGAGAGCAAAGCTTGCTCTCAATTTCTAGATTAAGTGTAAATCAGAACTACTTATTTCAAACTTGGTGTATTCGGCAATAATTGTCGAAATTTGGCTGTGGTTCAATAAATTATCAAATAGAATATTGTAGCTCGATGAGAAAAAGATTGAATACGTTTACATAAAAATAAACGAATGATTCATTGGAGAATTTTTTGCATCAAATGAGCATTACTTTTGATAAATAAATGTAACGAAAAAAAATTTTGGATGCATGACAAAGTTAAAGACACTTATTGAGACAGCTGAGATAAATTAATTAAACAAAATGTTAGAATGATGAAAGCATCCATCAATAAAACTATCAAAAAGGATTCTCGGCTTATTTTGTGCCCTAACGAAGAAGATACCATTAATTGGAATCCGTGATTTTGTTATCTTTTACTTGTTTGTGTTTGTAACAAAATAGCTATTTTTATAAACAATATACAATAGCCTAATCACATGAAGTTATTTATAACCACACTTTATTGATATTTATTAAATATAATAATTATTATAATAATTCGATCAATTAAAGCGATTTTTAAGTGTTTATAACAAAAATAAAAATATCAGTGCTCTGCAGTGGTCTGGGTGCGACTCGAAGGGTCGGTCATTCGGTTGGTAACATTTTTTTAGTAAAAGAAAAAATTATACGTTAAAAGTACTCATATATATAGAATGGATCCCTATTTTTATTGTTTATAACAATTTAAAACTTATTATTCAAATATTACTATGATCAATAATCACTTGTTAGTAACAATGTACAATTGTTATGAACACAATTCCATATTATTGACAATTATTATTGACTATTATAGCGTCTTTAATGCTGTTTTCTTAATCCTGACACGAGTTTAAAATTCTTTCATTGCTGATGTTGTTTTTCAAAATTTTTTTTTTTTGATGAAATATTGTCACCATATTTTCATACAAGTCTTCTAATCATTTAATATTCATATTTTCCATAAGATCTCGAAATTTTGTCTAGAAAATGGTATAATTTATAAATTGCAAAATTCAAGTAATTTCCTTTTTTTCCAGTTTTTTGATTCTGCCAAAAAAATGGCTTTACCGATTTTGTTGAAAACCTAATCAGTTCTAAGTTGCGCAATTTCGCGTCGAATGCAGTTGGTTTTACGTCGATATCATCTTTTGTTCTCCCGATAATCGAGGCGAAAAATAATTCCGAACGCACATACGCACACACACACACACAGACGTCCACTGGAAAACGATCGTATTCGACTCTGGGGACTTTAAAACGTGGAGATATGTCAAAATTCGGGATTCGCAAAATCGGACCCATTACTATAACTTCCCACTGGGAAGTAATAAATAATTACAAATAATATACATATAATTGTTTAGAGTCATGTGAATTCACTAGCAACCATGTATTGTATTGATATTGACCTCAGTTGTCAACAATGTTAATCAACTAATAAGAAGTATCTATTTTAAATGTCTTGGTTATTCAACGTATTTTACAATCTTTTTGTTATAAAAAACAATTGCTACACCGAATTCATTGACACTCTGTTCAGTTTTATTTTATTGTATTGTCTTTAAAATGAAATTGTGTGGAGTTGATATCTTCAGTACTTTTTGAGATATCGAAAACGAAAATAAAACCTACGATACATACGCACGCAGATACGTAAATTCGTTCATCCATCCACGTTTCAACCTTCTAATATCCTTTGAAATGTCTTAAAAAGTATAGATATGATAAAATTACGCATCACAAAAATCGACCTTGTTACAATAGCTTTTTAATGAGAACTTAACAATTAGTTACTAATTTATAATGAAAATGTAACATTGAATATTCATATGAATGATCGTTTTTTTAAATCTTTTTACATTAATTTAATAATACAGAAGACCATAATAGTTTGTTGCACCTTGCTACATCTTGATTCAAACGATAATTAAAATAACTGATATTATGTAAATGATGTCATATGTTAAATTTGCTGAATCATTCGATGTTATTTATTGATTTTCCAAATATTCGTATTAGAAAATCTTTTTTCTCATCACTATATAAAACGATATCTATTACTAGTCATGCAACGATGCTAAAATAGCAAAATTTTATTAAATAAAAATAATCTTATCTAGTATCTAAGGTTCTTTGGATTTATAATTGTTAAAACATAGCATCATAATATTGAGTTGAAGGTATTGTTTAGCTTTAGCTTAGCTCAAGAGCTAATCACTAAAGTCGTAAAATCTAGCTCTTCGGCATGGTTAACAGTATCAGTAAATGTATTTGAAGTTGATAAAAATCATCAATAGTAGTAACTACTTTTTCATATGAGAAAAGCAAATAAAGAATATACACTTTGATGAGGAAAATTTGAGGTGATTTAAGTTTAAGAGAGCACAGTCTTAGAAAAAATTTAATTTTCCAGACAAAAAATCATTAAACCTTATCTCCTATCTTTGATAGTACAACTTTAAAGTTATCATTAAGATACAATAAAATGATTTTTAATAATCTTTTATCTTTGTCGTTATTTTATATCTGAAGTTTCAGATAAAAATTAATTGATTTTTATTTTTAACCATTTTCCATTTTTATAATGAAACAATATCAGGAAAAAAGTTCGAAATGAAAATTAAATGTGTTATGAATTTACATCAAAACAAATTCATAGATAACTTTTTATTTTTATTATAATTTTACAGCTAAATTATGAAAGTTAGAAAATGAACTTTAAAAAACTTTTTTGTGAAAAATTTAGCTTTAACTAGTTTTATTTGAATTTCTTCTTTGTATCTCTTATGGTTTGCGATGAAATCGCTAAGAGCTGACATACAAAATTAATCAACAAAGAATTTATTTTAGTCTTTTTTCAGTTTAAAGTCAATTGTTATTCACAATTACTATTTTTTACAAAATTTCAGTGATGTTTATTACTATTGTTCGGTGAAAAATGATACATAAAAAATAGTTATTGTAAATTAAAATTAACTTTAGATTAAGAAAAGATTGGAATAAATTTTTTGTTGATTAATTTTGTATGTCAGCTAATTATTTACGAGCACTGTTTTAACTATTACTTATTTTTTCAGTCACGCTAACAAACCCTGATTTCATTACTCTAGTGTCTATCTATGACAATCTACATTCTTTTTTAGAATGTCTTATTTCATCTTTTCAACACAAAATGAATAATTATATAATTTGTCTGACTCTTACATCTATTTCCAGACAATACTGATGAAAGTTTCGTAATCAGACTTACCATAGCTATACTGGGTCCGATATTGGGCTTAGGAGCCTTGACAGGTGGATTTTTTTTCTGCTTGTTAGCACGTAAAACCAGAAGAAAACGATCACTTGTCATAAAGCGAAATAAATTACTAATCGATGCAGAGTTGGAACCATCAATGTTGCATTTTCCATCTCCATCACCGACATCTACCACTAACTTCCCACATGAGTTGCGGGCTACTGCTGCTGGAGATAGTACTTTAAAGGTATAAAGAATTTACTCTTTTTATTATTAACTCTTCATCGGGTATTGACTCTATTAGAAGATAATACCAACAGTTTTTTCCATTCTCAGGAGTATCTTGATGGACGAAGTTTGACTAGTGGATCAGGTTCAGGTTTACCTCTGTTAGTTCAACGAACTCTAGCGAAGCAAGTGGCTTTAGTTGAGTGCCTTGGTAATGGTGGTAGTGGATTCGGTGGTGAAGTGTGGCGAGGTGTTTGGCATGGTGAAAATGTAGCTGTAAAAATTTATTTTTCACGTGATGAAGCTGCTTGGGCACGAGAAACTGAAGTTTATTCTCAACTTTTACCTTCCCGTCATGATAATATTCTAGGATATGTTGGTAGTGATATGACAAGCCGAGCTAGTTGTACGCAATTATGGCTTGTAACTCATTATCATCCACTAGGATCACTTTATGACCATTTGAATCGTTCACCACCACCACTGACTCACCATCAGACTTTGAATATCTGCCTAGGAATAACAAATGGTTTATTGTATCTTCATACGGAAATTCATGGAACGAGAGGCAAACCTTCAATTTCACATCGAAATCTTAAGTCGAAAAATATTCTTGTAAAAACTAATGGAAGTTGTGTTATTGCGGATTTCAGTTTTGCCACGACTCAAGACCGATTGCTTACCGATCGTGTCGATTTACGACAAGGAAGTAAACGATATATGAGTCCTGAAGTATTAGAGCAAACGTGAGTATATGTAATGATATTATTTTGAGAAAACAGTTCTTTGAATTCAGTCTTAGTCATAAAAAGTTTCTTGGACAGTGTCCTCTAAAAATGAGTTGAAAATATCCGTGCTCTCTGGTGGTCTAAATGTAACCCGGAAAGCCTACACGGCTAACTTCCTAGCGGGGAGGATGAAAAGATAACATGCAGCTAGCATACCATTTTTTGAGTTTTTTGATTCTGCACAATGAATGGCTGGACCGATTTTTCTGAAAACCTAATCAGTTCTAAGTTGCGTAATTATACATTGAATGTGATTGATCCTACGTCGATATCATTTTTTGTTGTCGAGATAATTGAGACGAAAGCGAATTCTGAGCGCACATACGTACATACACATACACCGACGTCTAATACTTTTTTCATTTATTCGGTTTTAATAAAAATATCACGTGACCGCTATGAAAACCTGTGTGAAAAAATAAATTTTGAATTAATAATGTTTAAAAACTAAACAAAATTGTGCTGAAATTTTTTGTTATAATTAAGTTTTGGGCTAGTAAAATGGTCAAGCAATAGAAACGTAAAAAAATAACATTATTTTGAAACCAATTATTTTAAAATCATTTCTTGACTTGTTGGATAAAATGATTCATATATTACTTTCCAAACTAGGATAATTTAAACTCCTATGTTTTATTGATGTTCTGAAAAGATTAATACTTTTTTTATCTATAATAAATTTTAAAAAATTTCTTGGTGTTTAATTTATCAAATATTTATTCTCGACTAAAAAACAATTTTTTTTTTTAACAATTTTTAGAATAAACGTCGAGTGTTTGGAGAGTTTTAGACGTACAGACATTTACAGTCTTGGTTTAATCATGTGGGAAGTTTGCCGAAGATGTATAAGTAATGGAGTAGCACTAGATTACGCTGCTCCATACTCAGAATGGCTTTCAAGTTCTTCTCAAGAGCCTTCCATTGAAGAAGTGCGTAAATTAGTGGTTTTAGATCAACGACGACCACCTCTTCCCAACCGTTGGCATTCTGATCCAGTGAGTATTTATCAAATATACACCCCTAAAAAACTAGTTTAGATGTATCTATATCTGATCAGATCAGTATTATGAGACTGTTCACATCGAAAAATTGAAAAAAAAAATTAGGATCTGATCAGATCTGAACTCGTTTTTCATAGGCATATACTGATGGAAAAGATTCTTTAATTATTAACCCTATCACGATGATCTTATTTCAATTCATGTTGATCATAATTCGGATTAATATATCATTAGGATTAGTCTACCAAATTATTTTATGTTTTTTTTTAGCCTATTCTCGATATGTTTTATCGATTTAGCTGTTTTTTCTTACAATAAAAAAACTAAAACAAGTTGAATGAAAAAGTCATTTGAAATAGATTTTATGTATTGAATAATTAATATAGTTGAAAATTGGCCTCAATATTAATACAATATGGTTATTAATAACTTCATATAACTCTAAATAATTGTATATTATTTATAACAGTTTCAATTTGTTATAAATAATTGAAAATGGTTTTGATTGATCGAATTGTCATTGCTATGAGTATTTTCGATAAATATGAATAAAATGTTTTTTTAAATGACTTTATGAGATTAAATAGTTGTACATTGTTTATAACGATAATACAAAGAAAATTGAACAAAATATAAATTTTAATACAAAATTTTTCCATCAATGTCATCAACTGATATCTAATTTTACATAAAAATAAAAAAAATATGATTTATTTTCAGACTTTGTCAGGGATGGGCAAATTAATGCGAGAATGTTGGCATAGTAAACCCGCAGCGAGGTTACCAATTCTTCGCGTTAAGAAGACTCTAATAAAATTAGCAGCCAATGATTCTCGTGTTCACTTAACGCTTGACTGATCAGAGATTGTAAAGATTCAAATTTCATCAATTTATTTATTCTTACTATGCATTAATAATTTTATTGATGTAAATTCGTTCCATAAAAATAGCCATGTTCATTAATCAGTGTTGAACTAGCTCTTTTCATTACCATATGTTCATTATTGTCATTACACATCATAATGAACTTTTTCATTATAATTATCTTTGTAAGAAAGAAATAAGCATCAATTAATGTCTTACTTAATCTAAGTCCAGTCAAGATAGCCACGGGATCTCAATTTTTTCATGGATTAAATTTATAAAAAATGTTATTGGTGATTTTCTTAAAAATTATAAGAGAAATGGACAAAAGCTCATTACATTTTTTAACTTCTATTCTTCATAGTTTGGCTCAAAAATGACATTGAAGATCGTTAAATTTTCTGTAAAAAAGGTCTTTTGATTTTATCCTCTATGTCTTACAATTTAAGTAGAAAATGAGGCTAAAAGTTTTTGAGAGAAGGTCTTGATTTTCACTCCATAGGAATGAATTTCAGAGCTATCTTGACCGGACTATATTTCAATGAAGCGAATGTCTTAAATATTCTTTACAATAATTTTCGTAGTTTGAGTCATAAATCATTTATTTTTACTATTTTAAAATAGTTTATATAAAAATTTATCATTATGAGTTGTGCATAAATTTTTATATGAATATACGGATAAAATAACTGTACAGTAATCGATAAATTTGAGAAGAAATCTAGGGAGAAAAAGAGAGAAATATTTTAATTTATATTATTCGTGTTACCCTATAGACATTTTAGACACTAAGGATAATATAAAATACATTAATTAGTATCCGCAACGATATTTGTCGTTATTATTTTTCACATAATTAAACAATGTTCTATTTGAGCTTAAAAATGTTGTAATATTAATTGAAGGAGTAACTAGATCTAGAAAACTAAATAACATGTAAATTAAATAGAAGAATTTATATTAAAAATTAAGATTTTATTGTAAATTAATTGTTACATTACATAACTGATATTATTTATATTAGAAATTAGCGTTGTACAAAAAGCAGTGGTTCATCAAGAAATCAATTCTTCGCGTTATTAAAACAATATTTTTGGATCAGACATATTTCTATCCATTGACTGAAGGGATTAATTATTTAACAATTATCAGTATCAATATTTAATTTACAAGTAGTCAATTATTTAAAGTACTAAGTGTTTATTGATAAATGGTCCACATTTATATACACTGCTAGACAAAAATGAGACTTTCTTAAAAAAAGTAAGATAATGAAATCAGTCTCATAACTATTGAGGCGTATAGAGTGTGTAGTTTAATTGTCAACTAAAACACTTTTTCACAAGTAATATGCATATGTTTAATATTAAACTATTCAATAATTATTAATTAGTTGTGTTAAAGATGGATATAATATATTTTATAGACAACAAACTTTTGTGCAAGTGGTCTTAATCTTTTAGCCGGCAGTGTAAATTCGATAAATTTTTTGTCAGATAATTTATTTTTAAACAGGAACAGATGATTCTTGCAATACGAATGGTAATATACAGTTAAGAATAACGTTTTGTACAATAATTGTACAAAACATTTCATAAGTTTGTAATAATAAATCTAAAATCATTAATTATCCAGTCTAATTTCCGGATGCAATGTCATTAACTTTTCTAAATAAAATTCATTGTCTATGTAATTTTCACCAATAGTCATTTTAAAAAATTCTTGAAAGCACGATAGATCTGCGTAAGGACATACTAAGTATATTAAAAATGCATATCTCCAAACAATATTTTGTGTATGGAGGCATTTTAGAAGCTGTGGAAACATTTTTTGAATTACTGACCAATCTTCATTTATCAATGCATTACGCATTTCTACCACTGCATGAGTATGTGTGAATGCTGAGCCTGCGATAAGTTTTTTGGGCGTTGGAATGAAATTTGTCACGCATTGACTATGTACTGCTTTTTCTCTTGTTTGTTCATTTAATTTTCGTTTTGAAGATTTAAGTACTCTGTTTTTCAGAAGATTCAAAGCCCTATCCTTGAATGTGTAGGTAGACATGAAAGAAAGAAAAATAATTGATATAAATTTTTGATACTACAAGCATTTGATTTTTATTTGAAAATAGTGAAATTTATTGAAATCTGGGGGGATTAGTGTACATCAGTTGAAATATCTTTTCAGATCTTTCAGAAATTAATAACTGAAAATAAAATATAATAATGGTGTTCTACTCTACGTAAGAGATAACAAATAAAAGAAATGGTCTGAATGCAATCCTTACTGTTTTTTATGTATCGTTGAAAGATTTTTTAACCTTATATAGTCTTATTTGACATCTCTGTATAACATATAAGCAACAATTTAATAATAGTAACAGTAATTAGTGATTATCATTTAACTATTTGAATATTTTTAAATTTTGAGATTTGCGTATTTTTTTACGTCTCAATTTTTTTATAAATATCCACAAAATTGATTTCTTTAAAGGTCTTGGGGTACAAAGGGTTAATCAATGTTATATAAGTTTAGACATTTTTCGTAACATAAATTCTGAATTTATTTACCACACTTTCTACAGATGCCAACCGGTTTACTGTGTTCAAATGACTGTGCTCTGCCATGGTATATTGTTATGATTGTGGTTATGACTGAAAAACAAGCGTTTTTATTACTTAAATTCAACCGTTGTTAGAATCTTTTTTTCATAAATTCAACACTTTTTGAATACTTTCACTCTTTTTCTGTATTATTAATTTATTTATAAAACGTATAAATATTTTTTGAATAATAAACAACACACTATGTTTCTGAAACGACAAAAACAACTGATGAATGTTTCTAATAAAATCCTCCAGATTAGAGATGCAGCATAACCGTCATTTATGATTATGGTCACAGAACGGTCATACGACCGTCATGTGACTGACTGTCTCAAATGACCGCCGGTTTTGAAATGCCAATTTACCGTCAGGAATTTTTTGGTCACAAATTTGGTCATCTGCATCTAGGGGTGCGATATAGATTCAGGAAAGACATTAACGGCAGCTACATTCTAATGACCAAAACTAAAAGTTCCTATGAGAAGTTATGTCTAATGTAAATTTAGTACAACTATAAAGAACACCATTATCAATGACAACATTCACATAAATAATTATGCATAATTCGATCATGTAACGATATAAATTAAGAACTTATAGATACAATGATAAACTATCCCACAGTTTGATTATGAAAATGCTTAAAATATTTAATGACAATTGTATCCAAAGAAAAAAATCTCTAATAGTCATTTTATCCACAAACTATATCGATAACATTGAAACGAGATATTACCAACGGTAGGTAATCAAATTTCGCGGTAGGTAAAGTAAATTTCTTAAAGTAACTGATAAAAGATAACAGCCATAAACTGATATATTTTCGAACAATTGTTATAATATTAGATCATTATTACAGAAAATAAATGAAAATTATCTATAATTCTGTTAATTGTGTACACAGAGACCTATTTTCATATATAATAAAAACATTTTTTGGGTTAACTACATCGAGCTTTGACTGTATATTGTCAATAGAAAATGAGTTTCAGCATTTACACAGACAGAATAAATGAATTAATAATAATTGAAATAAATCAATATTAAACTAAAAAAATTAAACTACATTTTATAATTAATTACAAAACTCATAAAGAACTCTTTCTTTGTATATATCGAACAAATTTATTGAAATAGAAATAACATACATTGTAAGAGAATAAAAGTAATTTCAATTAACAGTTTACTGTTCACTTATAAAAATGAATACATTTCAGATAATATTCTTTATATCAAACTGTATTAAAAAGCATTTAACTTAATTATGAATAAAAATATTTTTTGACGATATCTTATATTTTTTTTTCATCCAATTTTTTAAAAAAAAAAACACCATTATTATGCATGTAAACATAAAAAAATAATCTATTATCAATTACTGTCATGTAAATTGTAATAATGAATATTTCGAAATTAGAAATTCTTTTATATAAATCTGAGTTGTTGATCTCTATTCATTTTAAAATTCAATAATTTTGAAAATTCATTATTACTTATATTATGTCTCAACTTATAAACCTATTTGATCAATAATAGTCTATCTTAAAAAATCTGATTACAACTAACAATTTCGACTATGTTAAAATTATCCGTTGTAACTTACAATTTTATCGTCAATACCTTCTCAAGTACAAACATAATACAAAAAAATAAGTAATTAAAAAAACTTGAATAATGTTAGTCATTACTTTATAATACTTTTGTTGCTCCACAACAAAGAAAAAATGAAAAATTAGAAGAACGACTTTTCAACAATAGTTCTATAGAGCGATGCCTAAAGAAAACTGGCTTGTCGTATCTTCTCTTACCTTGTTATATTTAACAAAATATAAAGATAATATAAAAAACTTATTTTAATGTTAGATTTACTTATAACCCGTCAAATTAAAAACCAAATAGTATACTACTTTATTATTATTCACTCTGAAAAGACGATGCTGCTAATTATTATGATGCAGCTTGAAATAATTATTCAATTCGCCTCACTTCAACCGGATCAGCTCGACAAATAGGGCATCTCAGTGGAAGTCCGTCTCTAGTTGCTGTTTCTCTTAACTCTTCAGTACACCTTTCACACAATACGCAATGTCTACATGGTAGAAATTCAGTTTGTACTACATTCCCAACACACCCTATGCATCTTCCATCGTCTGTAACGAATCTACCTTCTGAAATATTTATTATAAATTGGATAATTTTACATTGATGAAATTGTATTATAAAAAATTGTTGGTCATTACTCCCTTACCTTCAACTAGTCGGTTTCGCCATAATATGTTATTCAAGACTTCTTGGCGTCGAGGTAATCCGTTGACGTGCAGTTCTGCTAAAATAGCTATCGGCTCAACTTCAAACTCTGGAATTAATTCTGTACCAAGTACAAGATAAGTGATACTCAAATTTTTATATATCGAATATTCTGTAATATACTATATTCTTTTGTTCAATATTTAAAAAATGTTTAAGTATTATATTTCAAATATTTAACTTACGATTATGAATGTTATCATATCTGACTATTTCAAAATCGGCATCAGGATATATTCCTTTGAATATTAGATCATTAATAAAAGATTCTAACAATCCAGTACATGCAGCCAGGAAATGAGAGATATTTATTCGGTTGTTCTCAATTAAATGCCATAAACGAAGAATACTGGGTCGATGGATGACGTATCGAACTCGAGGAATTTTATTTATTGATCTTCTATCTTCATTAGCTATTTGATTAAGTGTAGAGTGAGATCTTTGAGTCACCGTAAAAAATGTTTTTGAAAAATTTTCATGATCAATGAATAGAAGATTAATATCATATAATTCACTATATTTTCTTGAGATGTTTTACTTAAATAGTCCCAAATGGTTCTATCCCGGTTATGTATCATGCTCTCAATCATTTCCCATTGAGCATCTTCACTGTTAAATAGGGCTTCTTCATCACTATAAAAACTGTAATTTTCAGTACCAATATTAATGATCCAATAATTATCATAATACTGGAAAATCTGTTTCAGTTGTTCCATGTTGCCAGGTATCGCACTCCTTAATGAAATAAATGCTTCATAAATTCTTTCAGGTGGTAGTAAACTTAAAGCAATTAGTTTTTGAATAATTACTAAATTATCATGGTTGAATTCAATATTCATCAGTACTGCTTGCTGAAGAATTATCTGTATAAAAATAATCAAAAGTAACAATGATGACAATAATTCATTAACTTCATGAGTGCTTCAGTAATACTATATATGATTTTTACGTACGTGGCAGTGAGATGAAAAGCTGCCTCTTACAATTGTCTCAGTCGTGAAAGCTCCTCGTAAATATTGGAAAATTCTGTTGTTGAAATTAAAAATTATTTTTGGAGGATTGAAATTTTCACCTATTTCCTCCATCATTTTTCCAATTATTGTACTATAGGTATTTTCATTGGTATTGCTGATAAAACTCCAGCCAACTGAAAAAGACTGCAAAAAATACTTTTCTTTACTGCTTATCTATCTCTTCTATAACTCGTTTTACTAACTTTGTTCGTTATTAACATAAATACAACCATTACTATTCTAAATTTGATCTTTTTAGCTTCTTATTTCTCTTCATCTATCTTTCTTGCCTTCCCAATTTATTATCTTAATTTTTTCATTTATATTAAACAATATAATATGAATAAACTTACATGATTTTGATGTGGAACAATAATTGCCAAATTTTCAAAAATGTCCATACCTAATGGGACATTTAATCGATGAATTGAAATAAAAATTGGACTATTATTTGAGACGATTCTGGCTGGTAGCTGTGTGTCAGTAATAACTACTCCAAAAATTTGATCTACACCGTTTGGTCTTACTAATTTTACACTCATTTCACTGGTTTCATGAATCATTAATTGTTGATACATAGGTTGACTCAAAATGTCCATTAATTGAACTAGTGATGGAGCGTTTGGAAAACTCCTATTTAACTGCCATCGTACCATTGTTCTATGAATAATTTCCCATGTGACAATTAATGCTGCATCGGGATATCTATAAATAAATAAATAAATAAATAGTAAATAGGAGAAGACAAAAATAAATGGATCATTAAGTCAAATAATCTTTAAAAGAAGTAAATTTAATAAATGTCATGAAAAACTTACATCGGTGATAATGAGTTATAGATTTCGCGCGGACTACGAAATTGCGTCTCACAAGCTTGTCTCAAATTTTTCCTAAATTTACGTATAATTTGTAAATCCGCTACTGGTGCGTGATTGTGAATGTTTGTGATGATAAAAACACCACCAACTATTTTTCCTCGTCCTTGGCAAAATCTAGTTTGATAATGTCTGCATCGTAGATAGCTGAAAATTTTAAGTGAAAAAAATAAAAATTTGTTTTTAACATTTCATGACGCATTTTCAATTATAATATAAATAATTATTTCAAGAATAATAATTTGCCGAGAAGAGAAAAGTTGTAATTTATCGTAACTTATAAAAATATGAGAAATATATTGAATTTTTAATTTTTTAATAAAATGTGAAGGAAATTTTCATTACCTAATAAATCATTAGCTTTGTTAAAAAAAAACTTACATTTTGTTATTTCTTCTTTCATGGACTAAATATGAATAACCGTCAAATACTCTTTCTTCACCAACTGCATTGTTTCTTTGTTGATGTGCCATTTTCCACGTCCGTCGACTTACGAATGTTACGAACAAAAACCTTTGAAGTCAGGTGTAACGTTTATTGGTTGTTGCTGCTATAATGAAGTGAACGTTGGAGCATTAACATTGGCTCTTGAAACGTGGGCTTGGTCTCAAACAGTTCCAGAGAATATTCGCAATGCCACTCACTTCTAAACACAAGAAAAATTCAACGAAGAATTTGCAATGTACTCGATGATGATTTTTAGATACAATGTCGTCAGGAACATTTATTTGAATTACTATATAAATTTACAGTTTATACTGTAAAATTTTGATATCATATATATAGCTCATTAATCGTCTCTCTTATTATTTATTTAAAAGAAAAAATTTATTCATTCCCAGTATTTTTTGTTTTTATTCGAAGTGTACGAAAACACAAACTTGGTGTAGCACGACGCAAAATATGATAAGGCAAATATGAATACTATTGAAATCTTAGAACAAAAGACGAAAGCGTCACCGTATGGATGTATGAATGTATGATGTGAATGCCAAAAAAGTTTCATATCGAAAAAAATTACTCGATTTAATAAACGATATTCTTTA